GGCGCGTACTCGTGTTTCCATATCCAGTTGAATATCCGGATCAACATGTTAATCATCCCCTCCCCCCCCTGTTTCAAAAGCTCGTTCACAATTCCATCAGCCCCTGCCGCTTTTCTATTCTTGAGTTTCGCTACCCAGTCCTCTACCTCTTCTCGTGTGAACTCTCCCTGCAACCCGTCTACATCACTACGTTCCCTCTGAGATCTTTCAACGTTTTCCTCTGCCCACGAGTTGATTTCCTTCTCAAACTCCGAGTCGAAGTTGTCGTTGGTGGTGGGTGTCCCAAGTTTGCGGTAGTGCTCTACTAGTACTTCCCTCTTTCCTTTAGAACTGCTTACCATCTTACCCTCGGCAGATCTTAGTGTCGTTATTTCCGTGTCTCCGCCTTTTTTGTTGCCCACTATCCCTTGAATTCCTACCCACATTTGCTTCATCCCCCCCTCAAAATCTTCGTTAGTCTTTTGGACTACTTCCTCCCACAACCCTTTCTTCTTCTTCACGACCAACTCCTTCACCCTCTTTCTACTTTCAACATACTCCTTCCATCCTGTATCTGTTTTCCCTGCCGCATATTTTGCGTGTGACTCTCTACGTACTCGAATTGCTTGCTTGATTTCTTCGTCCCACCACTTCACTGCTCTCTTACAAACTATCAACTTTCTACCTAGAACTCTGCTTGCTGTTGTGTTTACCAGCTCTTCCCACCCTTCTATGATTCTAGACCCGGCCTGGTCCCGGCCTTCGGCATCCTTCGGTGTACCCATTGCCTCCATCAACTCCGAGAGTTTCTTGTCGTTTATAGCCATCTCTTCTTGGAACTCTACCCTCGTTTCTTCTACTTCTAGCTTATCTATTCTCCATCTGTACATTTTCCTGCGTCGCCTACCCTGTATGACTCTCTTCTGTTGTAGGGCTGTCCACACCAACGCGTGGTCTGTAGTGCCTACATCCGTTGTGCATACTCGTACTTCCGTCTCTTTCCCCCCATTCTCTACGACTATATAGTCAAGGATGGAGCGTTCTCCTTTTTTGAAACATTGCCTAGTCCATTCCGGTTCTGTCTTTCGTACTCTACCGTTCAACACCTTCATCTCGCTACTGTCAAGGAACCTCAGCATTTCTTCCCCGTTTTTGTTCGTGGCTCCCTCCCCGTATTGCCCTATGGTTCCGTGTGGGTTCGTGGTTCGCCCGATTCTTGAATTGAAGTCCCCAACTAGAACTACTTCTCCCTTTCTCTTGAAGTTTTGTACATCCGCTGCTACCTCCTCGAAACCTATCCTGATGTCTTTCACCATATTCTTCGACTCTGGTGGCATATATACATTTCCTACGAACAAGTCCTTTCTTCCCCGTTCCCCTGGTACCCTTATCCACATGCTTTCGTTGAATTTGGTGTCGCTGATCACCTCAATTATGTCGCACATGTGCTCCTTGACAAAGAATCCAACTCCCCCCTCCCCTCTACTCTTGATTTTCTGTCCTCTCCTCATTTTACCTATCCATGTGTAGCTTCCCACTTGTTTTCCTATTTCTCCCCCGTCCTTCTCCCACGACTCTTGGACTCCGACTATGTCCAGGTCTTTTTCGGCCGCTTGCTCGGCAATTTCGAGTCTTTTACGCTCATCTGTGGCAAATCCGCATACATTCCAAGATCCTATTCTGATTTCCTTACTCTTGCTTTCTACTTTCCTGTGCCTTTCAGGATTCCTTTTGTCCCTCATTTGCCTTCCCTTTTGACCCTTTCGGGCCTCCTGCCCCCCTTTGTTTTCAGCCAGCCTCGGAGGGGGGGGGGGGGTACTCATGTTTTGCATGCCTTACTGGGTAGACCATTGACCGGTTTCTATGCAGTAACGGACTTGGACCGAGCACGTCGGGGATTCACCGACTAGGCAGGGGTCAAAGGCTGGGGTCGGGACAGGACAGGTTGTCGTGCTTTCACTTGAAAAAATAGGCCCTTCACCGCCCGCAGAATGTTCGAGAGGCACCCAGAGTAGATGCAGAACGGGGGAATTGACCGAAATCGCGACGACAATAACGGAAATCAGAACTACACGAAACAATGAGCACCCAACAGGAGGGTTTTTACGCGTTCCAGTGTTTCCTGCCCACACCCCTTCAAGTTCTGTGCCGAAAAGGTAGGACTGTTTTTTCCCTGATGGCCGACGAACTGAGCCAGCCGACTTGTTTTCCGTAACAGAGACGGCGCCCCCAGTACACGTATTGTTTGTCTTGTTTAATTTAGCCGTGTTGTGCACGGATTGCCTTCCCTCGTCCTCTCTTTCGAAATTCCCGCGTATGGGGCTTGCTGAATGTTCCCGCTCACGCCTCTTTCTTCTTCTATTATTCGCTCGTGATTTACTCGTGTGTGCTGCAATATCCAGGATTGGCCCGTTCTTTTCGATTGATCTGATGCGCCGGTTGTTGAACTCCATCACTTCGTGTTTCCTTTCATCGTTATTTTTTTTATTCCTTCAGATTTTCGGTCAGCGTTGGTCGACCGTGGCGGAACACATGCCCGGGCGATTGGCAAAGCAATGTCGGGAGCGATATCTGAACAATCTCGATCCGGAGCTGCGTCGCGGTGCTTGGTCGCGAGAGGCAAGAAACAAGAAACAACGAGTGCTGTGTGCATACGTGGGCAAAGGGTTGGCTTTATTTTTGGAGCGAAAAGGTGGTGGGTTGAGCAGTATCCATCAACGTGGAGGGAGTGTTGGGTTCAATCTCAGTCTTGGAGTGTGAGGTTGGTTGTGCGTTGAGGAAGGTCCATCGAGTCTTGCACGTTGTGCGCTGCTGTGGACGTACCGCACACCAACAACTCTTGCTTGTGTAGCAACGTATCTCGCTCGGTGTTTTTGTGTTTCGCCGGGTACCCCCACGCCTCCACATGGCTAGTACATGTGGTGTAACGTTGACTCTCTGTTTTGTGTGTCGCAGGACGACGTTGTGTCTACATGCAAAATCGCCACCAATATTTGACTGTTTGCGTCTCAGCAGGACGTTTTACCTAAGCGCAAAGTTTTACCTAAGCGCGAACCGCGACTTTTCCTCTTGGTTTCAATCGCCGCAGGAGGACGAGAAGCTGCTGCAGCTGCGAGGCCAGCAGAACAAGAGCTTCGCCAAGATCGCCGAGCAGATAGACGGCCGCAGCTACAACGACGTCAAGAACCGCTGGTCGCAGATCAGTCGCCAGATTGCAGCTCTCAAGGTTCGGTCGGGCATGTGGTGCACGATGTGTTTCTTTTGGAATTGGCATCTTGAGATGACAAAACAGGCATGTATATCGACAGAGAGACAGACCGAGAGGCAGATGAAGGGACAGCAAGAAAGGGAGAGAGAGAGACAAGAGACAGGGAGCAGAGAGCAAAGACACACACACACACACAGAGAGAGAGAGAGAGAGAGAGAGAGAGAGAGAGAGAGAGAGAGAGAGAGAGAGAGAGAGAGAGAGAGAGAGAGAGAGAGAGAGAGAGAGAGAGAGAGAGAGAGAGAGAGAGAGAGAGAGAGAGAGAGAGAGAGAGAGAGAGAGAGAGGTAGGACAAACGCTGCGTACCTACAGTAGCTCGTGCTGATACCGCATCGCTCAATTCCGAGCTATCGTACATAGAGGATACCGTATTCTGCTTCTCGGCATACTCTGGCTTCGCTGGCGTCCCCCCCCCTT